GAAGATTCTCTAGAAATCGTGTACCTCGTATTGAAAGACAGTTTAGAGAAAAACGCGTTTAAAGTTTCGCAAAAAAAAAATGAAACAGAAGTGGATTATCATGTGTCAAAAAGCTGTATCTTCGAAAATTATTATTTTTTAAAAAATCCTCTTGCGCATATACTTTTGAAAAGTTAAGCTTTGAAGATGTGAACAATAAAACGATTTTTTGGAATTTTACATTAGAATAAACATCCAAAAAAATTAATTTTCGATTTTTGCGATTACTATAATTTATTCTACGGGTAGTTAATTATGTAAGAATCCATAATAATAAAATTAAGTTTTCTTCTCGACAAAAATATATATAAATTTAAAAAAATTATAGATAGAAAACGTAATTAAGCGAAACGTTATAAATCTATGGAGTTTATAAAGTTAATTAGAATAGATAATAATAAATAAATAATAAAAATAATATTAAAAGCGCTCACTCTATTTTCTATTTCTATGGAATACCATAAATAGAGCTCGGGCAGCGCCCTGCATAATGAACGATGTTTGCAAAGTTCCAAAGATGAGGCCATTACATATTCTAACAAATACTACCATGCAATATAAAAATCATTTTGTGAGATACTAACTAGTTACTGTTATAAATTTCAGGAACTTCTAGTACATGTTTTTTACTAATTTGGAATCTTGCAAAGATTTTTATACAAGCCGTATAGCCTCGGGCATTTGTCCGCGTTGACTCCCACCAAACCGGGCCCTCCTTCATGGAAAAAAATCGCGTGCCCTCAAGGCTCCGTATGTGTGTCACGTGCGATAAATGATTCTTATTAGATTCTATAGCGAAAATTCGAACCGCGCGCGAAATTTTTGCGAACAGATGGCAACGTAAATATGAATGATCGATTCTTTGCGCAACAATGAACCTTGGTTTAAGCAAGGTTATGGTTAAGCAGTTTGTTAATATTTGTGAATGTATTACTCAATGCGAACTTTAAATAAAACTTTATATTTACATCCAACGTTCCGCCGTTTTGAATGATTTTTCGTGTTTATTGCAAAAAAATATGACACTACAATATAATCACACAAACTTTTTCAATAGAGATTTTATCATTAATTCATATATAAACTAATTGTTAATTCGAATTAAGCGATTCACTCGTTTATTTTGATGAATTTTCGATCGCGGTCGATTTGTTGAATAGTTGCGATACCAATGTTAAAACTTAAAATTTGATACGTCAAAAATCCGCACCGTCGATACTGGCCGCCTATGTCATTATGCGTTGCGGAGGCCAATATCATTTAAAACGGAAACAAAAATATTTCGCGTATAACGAGTTGAGCAGGCAGTGCAAATTAGGTATAGGGGTCGACTGACGTTGTGATGGCAAAAATTTTGCGAAAGGTGAGTATTTTTTAAGTTTTCCGAACGATCGAATAAATATTATTGTGAAGTGAAAACATGTGATAAAAGCAGCCAATCTAAAATAAAATATCGTCGACGTTATAAGTATGCGTTAACTAGTGAACGAGATGAGATATATGTTAATTTCGCGAATAGTGGATTAATATGGCGTATGCGAATCTTGACAAGTAGATATTACGCGTTTGAAGGAATACTCCCTACGTGTATAAATCACGTGTCATAATGTTAATGACCTGGACCATATACAATAATTCCTAATTATCGAATAAATAAAAAGCCGATAATGATTCGCGAATCGTTGCACAATATTTTAATGAGAAAAGAGTGATGTTGTAGGCAAATTTGTTTATTTCGTACGGTTAATGAGCGGCTCTCCGGCTTATGTGGACACATATCAAGGAATCCGAATTCGCGATATGTGATCGAACGTATCGCAATGTTAAAAATATATACATTTTGTTATCTAAGCAAACGAGTTGCCGTCGTAAATTCATAACCTTTAAGTGAAGTGAAAGAACATGTTAAAGTATTTTTTCCATGTTCTACAACTATTCCAAAATATTATTTTTCCGATCATGACGTTATCAATTCATTAAAATTTGAGTTTTAAGTTCTGTGCATTTAACCTCACATGCTTGTTTTGAATAAATTTAATTTTAAATTATTTTTTGACAAAACAGATATCACACTGACATTAGCATAATGGACCAGCAATTTTGTCTTCGCTGGAACAATCACCCTACCAATTTAACAGATGTGTTGGCTAGTCTGTTGCAACGAGAAGCCCTCTGTGATGTTACTTTAGCTTGTGATGGAGAAACGGTCAAAGTAAGCTTAATATTATAATTACTCTATAATAATAACTTAATCTGTAATATTATAATTTACAACCCTTAAAATATTTTTTCATCATTTTTATTGTTTTTAGGCACACCAAACTATTTTGTCAGCATGCAGTCCATACTTCGAGAGTATATTTTTGCAAAACTCCCATCCACACCCTATCATATTTTTGAAAGATGTTAGATTTGATGAGATGCGATCTCTATTGGATTTCATGTATAAAGGGGAGGTCAATGTTGGCCAGTCGAGATTACCTATGTTTCTAAAGACAGCTGAAAGTCTTCAGGTATAACAATCTAATTTAGCCTAATTTTATATATATATATATATATATATATATATATATAATGATATTAAGATATTCAAAATTTCATATTTCTTTAAATCAAAGTATACATAAGCTGTCTGTACTGAGTGATTCTTACTAGTGACCTTGACCTTGTGCAAGACCTAAAGTCAATGTCGTTCTTTGTTATTGAATGTCAGAAATTAATGAATGTGTAAATTTTAGGTTCGTGGATTAACTGAAAGCGGTCATATTTCAAATCGCTCAGAAGATCACAAGCCTGATAACTTAACGATGTCTGGTCGTGATAGAGAACTCCAAGAACAACGTGATACTATAACTTCACACACCAGTTCAATTCAGTCTGGCCCAACTGATTTGAAGCGTAGAAAAAAAAATACGAACTGTGATATATCTTTGACAAATTCTTCTCTGTCAGAGAGGCAATTTGCCGAATCTCAAGTAAGTCGATACAAAAATTTAATTTTTATGTATGTATTTAAATATATATATATATAAATATATATATATATATATATATATATATATATATATATATACTAAAATCATATTTAATCTTCATTATATACAATGACACAATTTTCATACCATTTGTTTCATCGAGCAATTAAATTCCAAGGACATTTTGCATGAAAGCTATTCTAGTATCACAACCTGATTATTATTTAACTGTAAAACGAAGTACTTTTTTTAGGTTTTAAAAGATTAAAAATTAAATTCATTATTCACATTAATTCCATTAATTACGTGGGTTCAAAATGCAGGAACTACGAACATGTATTTACAAAGTTTATCTCAAATAATAATATAAATATGAAATTTTGATTTGCCTGTTGTAAACTTTCAGACAGTTTTTAGAATTCCAGAACCAAAATAAGTTACAAAAACGTTATTCAATTCTTACTATTGTCAAATTCCTACTTAACTTTTTTAATGCGGAATTATAGAAAATTTAAATAGTTAAATGTTTTATTATTACTTTTAATTTATTTGTGTAAATTTTCCAAACATCTCACAATATTTAAATTTTTGTGTAGAGTTCTAGACAGTTTTTAGAGTTCCAGAATCAAAATAAGTTGCAAAAGCTTTATTGAATTCTCAGTATTGCCAAATTCTTACTTACGCTCTTAATGCGGACTTAATAAAAATTGAAATAGGAAGATCTTTATTATTACTTTCAATTCATGGCTGTAAATTTTTCCATTGGAAGTAGATATGATAAAAAATAAAAGTTTGAGAACCATATTGATTTTTTACAAGCTGTTCACATGATTTTGATATGTTTTTGATTTTGTAACTCATTCATTGTAAGCAGTATTATATAAATATGCGCGCTGACATAATTATATTTTTGATATTTTTATTTAATGGCATATTCTTTATTTTTACTTTTAATAATTATTTTGTTAAACATAAGAAAGAAATACCTTTAATGCAATGTGATAGTATGTGCTGATGTGTCATTATATCACATACATGATTTAGATGAAATATTTTTATTTGGAATTTAAGTTTATTTGATAATCTAATTAAATTTACATATTTTTTTTGTAATTAAATATGATGTCACAAATTAATGAATTGTCAATTTCTATGATTTATGTAAATTTCTCTGCTTTCAAACACAAACTTTTATGAATTCATATTCATCAATATATTTTATATAATCACCAGTTTATAATGTTTGCTGCCACAGTTGAATCACTAGTAACACAAAAATATAAAATAACTTTTTTTTTAATTTTCTCAAATAATTGTGACACTTAACCTTATAAATTATAAAATCACCATTTTTAAAACTAAAATATTTCACATATTTTTACATGATTTAATATTTCCATGAAACAGATTTTATTTAGATATATTTTACACATTAAATACATCATGTAACAAACATTAGCACTTAGTTTCAATACTGTTGACCCAATTTCTAATTTTGACTGAAGATGCATCTTTGGCTCTTGTTTTTGACCTTACCCAATAGAAGAACACACATGCACATGTCATGTATACATATGTATGTGTTTGTATTTTTATATGTTTGTATTATATTTAATCATTTCAAAAAACTCAGATCAAATCAAATATCTTGAATAACTTATCAGCATCAAGAAATGTCAGTATTAGATTTCTTATTTGCAAGTACCTGATAAGAATCTGATAGGAAAAAAATGTGAGGATGAATTAAGGGATTTAAAGATAGCCTCTAAATTCTAGAAAAAAAGCAGTGTCATTGTCAAAATTTAGCATATTTTTTATTTGAAAGTATTTGTCACTGTTTATTCCTGTGAAATTTAAATTACTATATAAACATATAAATTGAATTGTATGCATCTATATTTATTTACACATAAATGTAATATAAACAAACAGAATAAGAGCAGGTAAATATTTTCAAAAGGTTTAGACTTACATGCTATGCGAGATCGAATATAATTATATTGTGAAGACATAAACATTGTGGATGATATTAATATGGAAATTATCAATTACAGAAATGTAAACATTAGTCACTGAAATACTTTAAATTTTATGTAATAGTTATTTCACAATTAAATTTCTACATTTGGCAATATAGATACAAAAATTCACAGTTATGTATGAATGTGATATTCAAAATTATTTGGAATTACTTATATTCCTTTTCAGTAAATACATTTTGTGTAGGCAACATATATTTCATTTGCCTACACATACAACTTGGTTATAGTCGTTTTACACAAATTGTATATAGTTAAAATATCTACTCATTAGGAATTTTAATCTTATACATTTCTAATATTTGCTTCAAATTATCTGATTGATAATGACAATTCAATAATAAAGCAAGTGATTAATTGCAATTATTTCCAAACCAAATAATCTATGTATTACATTTTTGGATGTTATTTATATACAAAGTGATCGTTGAATCATTGTCATATATTTTTGTATGAAATATATGTGCAAATAGCTGCAACGTATAATTATGCAGATTATAAATATGTCAGTAATGTTTGTTTTCTAGATTTATCTCATTCATAAAATACTTGTTTTGTCAAACAGCCATTGCATATAAATTTAAATGACTGACTTTCTAGCTTTTTGAAAGTATTTTTTTAATTATGGGTCTTATGTAAGGAATGAAAGGTTTTTGTTTCAAGTTTCCCAATATGATTATAGCATTGTATACAAACCGGTTTGCATATCGATTTATATTTAATGAAATTTAATCATCCAAAATTTAGATAGTGTCATAGAATTTTAATAAACATTCTGCATGTAATGGAAATCGATTGCTATATGCCATTTTTTTTCTTTCCATAGGCATCTTCCTCACATAGCAGCTATAAGTCGAGTTCTCTGCCTAAATTGAACTCAATCTTGCACCATGATTCATCAAATGACGACGTTCAATCTCAGAGCGGAGTTGTGGGCGGCCGAGGCCTCATGCAGTCCCCATCGGCTGGTCATTCGGGTCATTCGTCCGCGCGATCCAACACGCCTGGTGTCATGTCTGCGGTCAATATCAAGCAAGAGATCTCGGACTCGCATGGTTCCAATGCCGTACATGATCAGAAACCCTACTCTATCGCGTCCGATTTTACGGTAAGTTGTAGTCACATGGTAGTAATATATTATTTGTTTATAATCATTATTAATGCATGACTTTTTTTTATTGCTGTTTTAGTTTTAATATTGTGCTTTTTATTTCTTATAATTTAGTGGATGTATTTAATGTTCATTTCTACAAAAACACCCTGTTTAATTGTGAAATATGTCAATATGTTACATAATTAACTATGTTAATTATTTAACACTAATAAAATTGTTAGTAATCTTGATATCAACAAACCGCAGTAAATATGATCCATGCACAGCGGTTTGATTATAAATTGTTTCAGACATAATTATTTTATACATGAAATCAAACAAGAATTTAAACTCTACAATGTACTATATTTATGTATAATATATATATATATATATATATATATATATATATAAATGATATGTGTATAAATATTTGCCACGGTTCTATATTGTCCGTATTAAATGTGTGAGGAACCCGGAACCACATGGTAAATAGGAAGTACTACATTTACTATTCTATGATTTCATGAATCTTGCAAATCAAGTACATATAAAAACAAAAATATTTATTTTCTACTTAGTTCACTTAAAATAAAAATTATATATGCTTTTCAAAATCAAATCATATTCAAAATACAGTAATATAAAAGTTTTTGGTATATAAAAAGTCATGTAGTGTATGCAAAAAAACAAACATATATATTTTAAAGTTTAATTTATTGTTGAACATATTGTAATTTCGCAAAACATATTTTTTTTGTTTTAAGGGGGTCTTCCTATGTGATGAGTTGAAAAAATTGATTTTTTTTTATTTCATATTTCGGTAGATTATACCTTTAAAAATAACATATTAAAATTTCAAATCGATATCTCAAATAGTTTTTGAGTTACAGCCATTTAAAAAGTATACATATAGTATATAGTACAACGATCATTTTATCTTTAAACGCGTTTTTCTCAAAACTGTGTTTTTCATACTTGTCTCCATTGTATCTCATAAACGGCTGGACCGAATTACTTGAAATTTACAGGGCACATTCAATATATTTAAACGCATGGAATGAACTATTATCAATCAAAAATTTCAAAACTTCGATTTTTTATAGCAAAAAAACAACAAAAAAACTCGCCTAATTTGCAACTTTTATTTCAAATGTCTATAAAACATCCAATTTTTTTTGTATTCATTTGATTGTAGTTCATTCCATGCTTTTGAGCCTACAAATTAAAAACGCCGTTTATTTTTTTTTGGTCAGATAAGCCGATCAGCCGGAATCGTGGAGACAGTGGGAGCTCTTTTTTTTGAGGGGGGGGGTGTTTAGAGCGCTGTAACTCTAGTTGGACTAAATTTTTTTAGCTGAAATTTTATATTTATACTGTCCAAATATGTATTAATAAATGATAAGAAACTTGAAGCTCTAACTATTTACTGGTCGTAGAAAAAAAAATCTAAAATATCCCTAAAAAACAGGCCGTCACATAGGAAGACCCCCTTAAGTAAACTAGATACTAAATGAATATTTTGTTTTAATGTGTACTTGATTATATTACATATTCAAGAACAAGAACAAGACTTGCTTGTTACTTGAAATTAAACATAGCCAAAAATATACATTGTTTATTATTACGGAAATGGTTTGAATAATAATGATTTGATTTTTTTAATTATAATATATACCCATAATTTTTAGAGATTATAGTAGGTAAATATAAATTAGATTTTGAATTAATCAATTTACAGACATTTTCAATCATCAGAAAATGCTATCTATCTTATACAGTTTGAACTGGCATGTGACACACAATTTTTTTTCTTCTTTTAATTCAATGACATCATCTATGGTTAATTGAATTTTTTTCAATATTCAGGTATGGATAACAAGAGTTTGCTTTTTAATAATTTAAAAAAATAATATTTAATACTAATAATTACTCAATCTTAAATGCCACAACCAATGTAGATTCTTACCGAGTGCACAAGTGTGTGTTTTTATTTTTAAATTGATTACTTTTTATACGTTGACTTTCAATTTTGTAAAATTTTTAACAAAATTCATAAATTGCGAAATAAATAAATCTGGAAGCCCTTCTGGTATTTAAATTAACCTAGCGGCTCTCAGTTTATGTATGCCTTAAGGTCTTTGGTGCTCTGTTCTGGTCATTCTATGGTAAGATGCTTCTAGCAAATTACAAATATATATGTATTATATATATATATATATATATATATATATATATATATATATATGTATATATGTATATTTATTGGAAAGCTAATTTATGTGGACTCGTCTATTTGTTTGTGTGTAAGTGAAAAGTCTAAAACATCGAATTAAACAATTTAATTTTATTAATTAGTGTCCCTGATTCCTTACTTATTTTTAAATCGCGTGCTTTATTCTTTCACATATTTCTTTGTTTTATTTGTAATATTCTTAAACATTTATAAATTCACTACTTAAGATAAAAGTGAGCAACTGTTTGTTAACTTTGTTTAGCAGTGAAGTGTAAAATTAAGTAGGAAAAAGTGCTGTGACTTTAAAATGAGATATGGAACAGGGAAGGAAGGAATGTTATAAAAAATACACATCTTCTATATTTTTTATGGGCATAAATCGCCTATAAACGGGAACTGTGTGTATTATTAAATAAATACAAATATAACTTCACGAAAAATCTTTACAAAATCCTTACCTTCTCTGTTCCCAGACAAAATCGGATTGGGGCGATTCTGTCAGCAGGAAACGTCGCACATCTGTCACCTGTGAATGGAACGAAAATGTTTGTAATATCAATCTCGGTGAATGGCAAAACACTTGCAATGTTATGAATCAGCAGTCTGATTGGAATAGACCTCCTCCAACTACTAATGACTCCACCGATTGGTTGAAGGCTTCTGGTTCTAGTACGAACTTGACTCAAAAACAGGAATGGCCCAATCAACCACGGACTTCGTCTTTACAGCAGTATCTTCTTTCATCGAAAATGACTATAGTGCCATCAGGACCGATAATTACAGATCAAAGAAGACTTCGTTTCATTGCGCCGTACCCATCCGAAGACCATTCCAGATTGGAAAGTGTGATCCATACTTCAAATCCGGTAAGTGTTGCAACAACGTCTTCCACAGTTGCCACAAGTAAAGCTTCATTGCCAAGTACCCAGAACCGGAAAGGTGGCAGATTTCGACAAAATTGGTTGGAACAATTTTCTTGGCTTAAATATGATGAGAAACAGAATATTATGTTTTGTATATACTGCAGGAAGTGGTCGCATGAAATTCAAGATATTCGCACTTCTTTTGTTGAAGGAAACGGCAATTTTAGGTTAGAAATTGTCAATCATCACGACAAGTGCAAAGTGCATAAGCTGTGTAAAGAGAAGGAGGTCGACAGTCATGCATGTAAGAGTGAAAATGCCCCTGCGACAGAAAAAGAAAATATAGCTAATCCAGTTAATCCATCGACCACAAGTGGTAACATTATCAACTAAAGTAATTGTGGTATAAGTTTTTTATGGACGTTATAAACTATATTGAAAAATAAATTACTTCTACCTCTGTTGTTATCAAAAGTTTTGTTATAAGTATATAGCTGTTTATTAAACTTGTTTATAATAATAACGTTAACATTCATTAATAAATTGAGATAAATTTATTTTACGCATTAAAGAAACATTGTATTTGATTTCAAAACTTGTGTTTGTCTACAATTATGTAAAATATAATTATTTGTCTTTACGTTATCAAAAAGATGATATTTTTAATAAAATGTATATTTTATGCTTGATTTGTTTTTTTATTCTAATATTTTTTCAAAAGAATATTATATACATATACATTTAAATTTTTTTTAATATTTTATTTAGTTAATTTTACAAAATTGCATATATACGCGATCAGCATTATTGAAATTAATTGATGAGGTTAAACAGTTGAAGACTCATAAACAAACAAATGACAAAACTTGATCAACTTACTTTTGGTTTCCTTTCCGATGATTTCTATTTTGATGATTGGTCATTACATTAACAAATTTTAAAAAATATAATTTTTGATAGACATTTTTTTCTATCCAAACGATATACAAACGTCGAAAGATATTTGACTTGATAATTAGTGATAGTTGAGTTATTTATATTGTAAAGTTTTTCTTATATTTAACCTGGAATCGCATATAAAAGGCCAGATTGCATCTATCTAGTGCAGTTGCATTAATTGTGAATATAGTGTTATAATCCTAATTATCTTCCATAATACTTTTTTGATGTCCGTGTTTTTTTATTTATAGTTGCATAACATTCAACAACATTTTCATTTATCACTTGCTTCTCAGAATTGTTTCATAGGGAATAAATTCGAATATGTTACTGTCCATTGTTATGCTATTGAAAGCTTTGAATTCTCAGAGTTAAAAATTAAAGATATAAGTGCAGTTGCATTAATTGTGAATATAGTGTTATAATCCTAATTATCTTCCATAATACTTTTTTGATGTCCGTGTTTTTTTATTTATAGTTGCATAACATTCAACAACATTTTCATTTATCACTTGCTTCTCAGAATTGTTTCATAGGGAATAAATTCGAATATGTTACTGTCCATTGTTATGCTATTGAAAGCTTTGAATTCTCAGAGTTAATATACTAGATAACATACCATTTAAATGCCTTAATATCAAAATTTATATTTAGCATGTAATTAAAATTTCTATCTTCATAAATATTGTATTATAAAATATTTTTTTTTACAAAAATGAATATTATGACATGTCAAATTTCGTTTTGTTCTGGTCCAAAGTCTAGTCTACAATGAACCCACATCACTCCGCGCTTAGTTTTGACGTCAAACCTATTCGCAGTTGATTGGATAAACTCTATACTTAATTGTGTGTAGACAGAATGTAGAGGAGTTGTAGATATGATGTTCATCTTTTGGTGTGAATGGTACTACTAGTGCTGACTAGCTTGCAGTGATCCAAAGTCTTGGTGTGCTGGATAGTTAGGCCGGTGAAAGACTGGTGGTGCGAGCTAGTTCTTGTGCCTACGATGACCCGAGGTTTGGACTTACTGTATAGGTATGCCGACGGAAGTCCAGGTCAAGGCTAGAAAAATGTGATAGCCCGCAATGACCCGAGGACTTGGCATACTGGCTAAGTAAGCCATCGGAAGACCAGAGTCAGACAAAAAAAAAGCTAGTAAATACCATGAATTTCTAGATGGGTAATGACCCATCTATTTGGAACTCGTCGCACCATTGTTCATCTATTTTTGAAATCTTGGTCCGCGCTCATTTGCAATATTCAAGGCGTTGGTTACCAATGCAGAAATACGATTATTAGTAATTGAAATTTCTATTTTTATAATTATTGTATTGTAAAATATTTCTTTTCTATATTCATATCTATCACCTAGAGATTATTAGAAATTTTACATAGGCCCACGTTTTATCTTTGAAAATATATTGTCGTGTAAATGATTGACAGCAACACTAAAGCTTTCGTAAATGCAAGAATAAAATATTGCAAGATTTGAAACACTTATGCTATATCGAAGAAAATTATGAAGTTTTTAACAGAAACTGAACATTCGTTTTTAGCACATGGTTGAGAAGATTCAGGTTGCAAACAAGCCGCAATGAGAAGAAAAAAATTACTCATATCATAATATTACTTCAACCTACTTTACTTTTTTGTTTCTTTAATACGGGTTACTTTAATAGGGCTTACAATACCGGGATTCCGTGATCCTGGATGATTTTTTTCCGGTATTCAATACCGGTATTGATACCAAAAATACCGGTATTTCGGGATTACCAGTATTTTGTTAAAAATTGAACTTACGCAATACACTTAACAAGTTTCAACTGTGTATGTGTATTACCGACTCAACTCAGCCGACTATGACACATCGGCAAGATAAAGCGATTGTTTATATATTATATAGGACCTAATGAATGGAACCCATTTATAAAAATTATTAGCCGTCCACGTGCATTGTCCTCATATCTAATTCGTTATCAATGATTTTTAAACAAAATATACAATCGACACGTTAGAATTCTGCATATTGAATATCTTCCCGTCAATCATTCGTATTTATTTATTATTTCATTATAACAAAAATTTGCAATTCAAATCATCGAGTGATATATAGTTTGATAAATCAATGATAATATTGGTCTTGGTGGAGGATGACCGCTTAGGCGTACGTTGTAGATTCTTATAAATTGTTCATATAGAATTATTTTATTTATTTATTAGACAATCAGAAAATACTATAGATTTCTATAAGTCTTTGTCATGTGTTGATATCTAATGATGATTTTATTATAACATAAATACACTATACTAACACTTGCAAGTACTAATTCATATCGACTAATAATTTACTCGGATTATTTCTTTATGACAAATGTAGAATGCGAACAAAAGTTTTCGGCTTGTTATATTTGTACTAAAATTCGGTCCTTGCTTGAAAATTAAACAATTGATTGTTTATATATTTTAAAAGCATATTTTAATAAACAAAATATAAGTTAAATATAATTCCATACGAACCTATTAAATCTAAAATGTAACATACGAGGTGTGTTCAAAAAGTACCCGGAATTACTAATAATTAAATTTCGCGGGTCTGGAGTGTCTGATTGTCAAAATTTTTTTTTATTGTGTTGGTATACATGCCCCTAAAGTATGATGAAATTTTCAGCTATATTCACTGTTTACTTTGTCTGTGGTAGTCGCTAAGGTTCGACGTGTTTTTCTGAGCTCGGCGATTATTACAATGGAAGAATTGAGAAGTCAAAGAATTTGTATTAAATTTTGCGTAAAAAATGAAATAAAGTGTTGCAAAGTGCAAAAATTCACCAGATATGGCTCCGTGTGACTTTTTCCTATTCCCAAAGTTGAAGAGACCCATGAAAGGACGGCGGTTTTCCTCGATTGAAGAAAATCGCTGAGAGTGCTCAAGGACATATCAAAAAGTGAATATCAAGGGTGCTTCGAAAATTGGAAAAAACGCTGGCATAAGTGTATTATATCTGGGGGGGACTACTTTGAAGGGGACCACATTAATGTAGACGAATAAATAAATATTTTTTTGAAAAAACGAAAATTCCGGGTACTTTTTGAACAGACCTCGTACAAGTTAATATATAATTGTTTACTTGCACTTTTTTGTATCTATCTGCTCCTATTCTTTACGTAATAAAAGAATTAATATGTACTAATTTTAGAACAATAATGTTAATATGTCAATATAACAACTGCGGTAAATAAAAATATGACTAGTAAATTTTTCATTCGTAATACCGGGATCCCGGTATTACAAATTTTAAGTATCTAATAGCGGTATTCAGATTTTAGTATGGCGTTGGAAGCCCTAGTTACGAATAAGCAAAGTACTTGCATATCGCAATTCTGGATGGAACATGTTTTATATTAAATATTTTTAAATTAAGTTGTAGAACATTGGAGGTTATGGTTTCTACTTTCACATAAATAACTCACTTTTTTCAATTAGATTATATTTATTTATATAAAAGATAATGAACAGATTGATAAAGATCGATGATGATAGTTCACCAACTCTCTGTTACAATAATTTCAATAGAAAACATTCGGTTTATTTGGTGGTATGACATTAAGCATTAAGAACTAATATATACAATTATTTAGATTTAAGGGCTTTTCGAATAAGATTACTTCTAATAATGTTTGACAAAATAATGTCCTTCATGGTTCTAGTATGAACTGAATGAATTCATATTGCGAATTCTTGGACTCCCTAAGCGATTATAAGAAAAGTGTAATATTGTACGAAAATAGCCTATTCTATATATTCTATATAAAATGCAACTCGTTTGTATTTTCTCGTGTATAATTGATTTTTTTTTTATTTTTCAGGCGAATGCTCTGCAGATGCACGCCGAGGACATGAGTTCACTGCTCGCTAGTCACACAATGATGTCTTCGATCGCGAACGCGGCTCTGATGGATACGAACAACCCTCTGCCTCTGAGTCCTGACGGTCAGAATTCACATTCACAAATGGAATCACAAGAAACCGCAGATGGTAAGTGATCTTGTTTACTATTACCTTGTAAATCGCACTCGATATATTTATGTGCTTCTTGTATTTTCTTTGGTTTCTTAATTATGATCATTTCGACGACTCTAGAGAATTTTTTCGGTGCGGTAAGTTGCTTAAAGACTCGGCAATTCTTAAAACATTTGTTAAGTTTTACTGTTGACGACTTTTTTACTCCAAGCGCCTGTGACAGATTGACAATTTGTCAACTTAGAACGATGATAATTTTTAACTAAATTATTAATACGATATTATCTCAATATTTGTGGACTAATAGGACATTCAAATGAAATGAAAACTGAAAATGGAGTTACAATTTCTGAATTAAAAATTACAGTAAATATCTTTCTCACACTATTTCTATCGCATGACACGGCAATCGAATTTACTAACCGATATAGCTTCTATGAAATTGTGTTGATGATAATTAATCATAAAGCAAATCATTTTTATTAGTAATTAACAATAAAGCATATTATTGAATATTTTTATCATGGTCCATTTAATTATTGAGTAAGATTTCAGCGCCGTCAATCTTTGACATTTCTCTCACAAGGAGAACATTTGGTATTTCTCGACCAAATTTAAGGTACCTGAAAGTTCGAAAATCGTAAAAATTAAAGTAAGGGTAAAAACGACGTGAAACTGTTTGAGTACGCAAACTGTTTGCGTTTTTTATTATTTATTTACTTACCAGGTTATTCCTAATCTAAATCAGATATTCTCCTTCTAAGTATAAAAAACACGAATTATTTAGAACCAATGCATATTTCAATCTTTGGTTGTATAGTCCATATTCCAGAGAAAATTTGAGTTTTTAGATTTTCCATAACGCTATTGAAAACTAATTTTAAAATATTTTAGTCAAATTATTTATAACTGGTGTAAGTATTTATAAAATTTATTAAAAGGGTTATAGAAATCAGAATATAATTTCATTTCGGCGTAAATGTTGTAATTATTTTGAACAAACTGATCTATGCATTCGTTCAATTTAAATTGCGGTCTGAAATCTAAGCTTAAATTATAATAACGACTTGAGAAAACATACCTTTATAGAGAAATATATTAGGTCGAGATAATCTCGTTTGTCGTGTCCTTAAAGGCCTCCTTAGTTCGCTTGCTCTCTTTTTGCTTGCTATTGTTCTAGTATGCATTTTGCTGTTTGTTGTTCGAAATTAGTTTATAATAACCCCTGATGTTTCATTTATTCTCAAATTCATTAAGCAATAAAAAAAACATTATTTTTAATTATTTAATAATAGACTTTTATAGTTGAAAAGCGCTTTGCTAACAGTCACATTTGTAGATTGTTTTTTAATTTACAAAAAATGGCAATGTACGAAAAACCAATCGTAATTTTCAGAGATAAAGACATTACTCTAGTTTCGTCGGTTTATGCAAGAGATTTTTATTACTGGACAGCTCACATAAACATTTAACTAACAATAATAATAATTCTTGATGTTTCCATTTTTTTTTTATTTGAATTTTAATATAAATTTTATACATCTCAGACAGGTATGAGTTATCGTATAAAATATCTATACAAAGTATATAAACATATATATATATATATATATATATATATACATATATATATATATATATATATATATATATACTCTACGTATGATATGATCATTACAATATTTTATATCATTTATTCTATAATTCAATCATACGTTTTACAATTCTACAATTTTATCACGTTGATGGCTCCACATAGCTACAAAATTGTTTTACACTGGAAATTATTAGATATTTGGAAATTTGTTGAGAAAAAACATTGAAAGATTCATAACAAAATGTAAATATTATTTGTTATATGCATTCTTTAATATTAGCGTAATATAAGTGTAACAAATTTTGCGCATTCTTTTTTATGATTAAATGTGCTGTTCAGTTGTACGAGTCTTTTGCTTTATTATTCAAATTAATATTTTTTTCACTATAACTCTTTCATCGTACTAAAAATTGAATGTTAAAAAATACGTTTATTTACTATATGATTTACGATAAAAACGTAAATGTAAATTTAAAGTAATAAATCGAAAAATTCTTCTGAAATGTGTTTTATATGCTAAATATCCATAACGTCGTATTATATGTTTCGGGCAATTCTCTGTCATGTTGGACCAGATTCTCCTACTATAAATAAAAAAAATGATAGATATAAAATATGCTATGAAATCATCTATTAAAGTTTTATACTCGTTCGAAATTAATTGTTCGTATTTGAAAGAAACAAGTGTCTTGACCTGTTACAAACACTTGCCAAAACTTTGCATATTATCTATTTAATACTGAGATGTTTATAATAAATAATAAAGTGTCATTAATATTTAATAATAAACAAATAGTGGCATGTTCAGATATTTCTTTTATATTGATTTTGAATATTACTATTACTGCTGGTGATAATAATAGTTTTTAATATTTTAGTCATTAGTCACAATTTCTATCGAAAAAGTATGTTATACATTTAGTTATTTAGCACATTAATACAAAGTCGCTTTTTCGAACTTTATGAACTCAACTATTAGTCGCAGTTAGGCATTGAAGTGGATAAATACGGAACTCAATAAAAGTGAAAACATTTAATTTTTTGTTCAATTATCGTACTTTTTTAAATTTTCAAATTCAATTTTAACACACAACTACAAAGCAAGTATCACCATCAGAATCGTGTCTAAAATGGTAATAATTCATTTACATAATATAATATGTAGAGTCCTTAGTTGTGGATTCAAACTTTGTGCGTTAGTTGTAAATGAAAAATATCAATCGATAACTTGTCATCTTTCATGCCAAATCCTTATTTATTAATTCATTAAAGCAATCATAACACTTTTGTACATTGCATATATATATTAATATATTGATAATCGGTATGGAATTGAAACTTGACACATCCAATTTTGTTAGGCTTCTAATTTTTTTGGCTTTTTATCATTCTCTGCAATAAGAATTAATAATTGACTTAAAAATTGATTGATTTTATAATTGATTAAAAATTTGAAATTAGCAAGAATGGGGCGAGTAATAATCTATATTTATTTATGTATATCAATAAAATAGCATCAAATGTCTTTGAATCTTACTATAGTTATATCTTAATCTTGGTTATTATTTCGTGCGATGAATAAAAAATATATGTTGAAATTTCGAAAGAAAAAACAGATTCAACTATATGGATAAACTTGATAATTTATCACAGCCACAGTGCAGTTTTACGTGTATTCCCGTTTGAGGATTTTTATCTTTTTGTCTTTTGTCTTTTAACTACTTTTTATGCTTTGATGTGCAATTGTCGATAAGTTTGATTTTGTAATCATGAGGTATTACTCTATTTGTTTATTTAATAATACTCACGAGGCGAGGGACTAAATTTATCGAAAAAAATTCGCTATACATATAGTTATTGGACGCTACTAATTATATCTCGTGATACAACGCGCACGTGCCCGATCGCGTATTAGTGGTCCCGCGCTATGAAAGATGCGAAATGCGATATGCGATATGCTAAGGCAGCGATTTCCAACCTGTGGGGCGCGCCACCCTAGGGAGGCGCCATACCGTTTCAGGGGGGGGCGCGAAGCTGTTTTAAAAATATTAATTTCAAATGTTGAGTAAGTGTCAAAAACATATCAGCAAAATACGTGCAAGAAATCCACAATTTTCGCTGCAATTTTGTCAGGACAAATGTACTTCAAAATGTACTACAGTAGAACCTCGATTATCCGGACTAATTGTTGTCGATAGGCATCCGAATAATCGAAAATCCGGATAATCCAAATTATGAAGAATAATGTTTTGTTTATCAAAAATAACAAATACATACATAGATATCAACAAAAATCAATTCACTACTTGCCACAAACGATTCATCGCCGCCTAATTTTTTACTTGTTAGCGCTCGAAATATTTTCCAGAATAATTTAATTAACAATTTCGTAAATCAACCCATAAATTCAACACCGTTAGGACATTTTTCACCAAATGATGTCTTATGTGAAATAAAAAAGATGAAAAACAGATCTTTGCCGGGTATGAACAAATGATAAAAGAATTGCCTACTAAAGGTATTTTATATATAACAAATATTTCCAACGCCATCCTTCAATATAATTATTGGCCCACAGCGTGGAAGACTGCAGAAATTACAGCCTTTTCACAGAACAAAGGTCCAGATATCGGTTGTTCTGTTGATCGTTTTTGTAAAAACCAACAATATAGAGCTTCTTCTAAGAGTTCATTTTTCGCTCTCTTCATTATTTTCCGATTTTCACTCCCCTCTACACTATACTAACTTGCAAGTGTACGACAAAATTGAATCGGCATTCTTTTTAATATCGCTTATAGTGGATGTACTTACACCATACTTATCAGCTAACTTACGGCCGGTTTTGCATTTATTAATGATTCTATAATATTTATTTTATCTTTAAGGGATAACACCACCCTCTTACGCTTTGGCATGTTTGAAAATGTATATATGCACGTCAAAACAGAAAATGTATTAATGTATACCTGCACGTCAGAACAAGTCAATTGCAAACGAACTACATAAAGCGATAATGTTTCCGACGCGATTATGTCCGGATAATCGCGAATCCGTATAACCGAGGTCCGGATAATCGAGGTTCTACTGTACTTTATTATTTGATATTTTTCAAAGACTAAGCGATTTAAATAAATCAATGCAAAGATCTAAAATTCATGCTTTTGTTCAGGCCAAGATTACGGCTTTTATGAAAAAAATTAAGTGTGGATAGCTAGTATGAAAACTAATAACTTTGACATGTTTCCCACTTTTAAAATTACTTGTGTTACTGATAAAGAAGTAAGTAAAGAAATTATTATCAATCATATGAATAGTCTAAGGAACCAATTTTCGCATTACTTTAAAGATTTGGATATGTCCAAATACGAATAGAATAGAAATGGTCATTGAGAAATATGATAATTTGCTAAAAAAAAAC